TCACCTCAGCCTCCCAAAGGTGCGGGATTACAGGCTGAGCCACCGAGCCCAGCTCAGAATGACTTTTTAACTAAATGACTTAGGCTCAAGTTAAAAAACAAAATCTATATAAATAGAGTTTTTCTCGTTGCTACAACATTGCTTGAAAAACCTACTATAATAATTTTAAAAGAAAATTGAGGTTTTAAAAATAGTTTGATATTTTTTAGATTTAGAAAATAAAACTACAATCATCGAATTATTTGGTTCCTTATTTATTTTTCTCTTAAAGGCACTAACTGCGGCTCTCACATTTTGCATTTATGTATCAACTTAAACACAAAACATACTGACAAATGTATAGATGGCATAAGACACAGAAAGAAAGCTAATATAACTGACAACAGAACTGGACACTGAAAACTTGCTTACTACTTGAATTTAAGAGATTAAAATAAACAGTAGAAATTTTTTTTTTTAAGTTGTATATGTTTCTTCCAGAATATCAAGTATAACAGTGAAGAGTGTGTGAAACATGGCTAGAAATAGACTTGACAGAAATTATGGACCAAATGCAAGAAAGAAGCAAATATGAAAGCTAAATGTGCTAATATCATCATCTTCTGTCCAAATCTAAATCCTTAGATTAGTTGGCAGGACATGGGGAATTCACTGCATTTAATCAGGAGTACTTGATGTTAAACGATAAAATGGCCAGAACCACAACTAGAATGAAAACCACCCACAGAGGTTGGTTTATGTGAATTTTCCCTTCCAGAAAGCTCCTGGCTAGGAACAAGCTAACTACCCTCAAATACAGGAATGACTATGATGAGAAAAAAAATAGAAGAGACTTGTGCAGTTCTTCCCAAAAACAGGACAACAGCAAATGAGCCAAAGTTGTGGGATGGCAGATTGCAACTTAAAAACATAAAGATCAAAACAGGTGAAGCCAACTGACCACTGGAAAAATAGTATCACTGCACGGTAATGTTCTTTCCACCACCATCTGCACTTACTGGAGACCAAATGACCAACTGGTCAGCATATTACAGAAAGAATTTAAAGGGAGTTTAGATAGTTACAAAGATAAAGTTTAACTCTAACAGTCTATGATACAGTAAGCTTAGCCAAGATTTCAGCCATACCTGCAAGCAAGTGAATTTAACTCATGCCATCTGTATCTGGCAACTTCCACACATCTGACACAAAAAATTTCCAAGTGGAAAGGCAGTGAGCAAAGTCTTTTTTATGGCTATCCTAGCTTTAATATTTTTTCTCTTCTCCTTTTCACGCATTCATTTCCCACACATACATAGGCAAACAACACAAGGTTTATTATTTTGTTATTACCATCGGGCTCTCTGACAACCACCATCTCTTGATCTTCTTGTCTGTTTTCACTAGATTTCTTGATGTCTTCCAGTTCTGTCCAATAGGGCTCCATAGAGTGTTCATCCATAGAATCCTGGGAACTTGACCGATCATAAGGAGGTTTTTCCGGAATTCTGGTGGTGCTTTCCTGGGTCATAGTGTAGTGGCCATATCTGCGGCTACGAATGCAAAAGAAAATGTGGTTCATGTTAGCACATGAGGAAGTAGCACAAGTTCTAAAATATCATAGTATTGAGTTGGATCATCTGAAATTTCATTTAGTTCTCCTTAACAAAACCAAAGAGAGACTTATTTCGAAACTGTCTACCTCGGGGTGCTACTGATTATAAGATGCTCCTAGAGTGAACACGTTCATACTCTACAGAAAAGTACGGTCAAGACCAAATCACAACATGGCGAATTTTTTTTCCATTTATGTTTGACTTATATCAAGACTCTTTTTTCTTTTTTTAATTTTTTTTCATTAGAGACAGTGTCTCACTCTGTGAACCAGGCTGGAATGCAGCTGGAATGTGATCCTAGCTCACTGTAACCTCGACCTCCTGGGCTAAAGTGATCCTTCTGCCTCAGCTCCCCCAAGGAGCTGGGACTACAGGCCTGTGCCACCAAGCCCGGCTAATCTACTTATTTATTTCTTTATTTTTACAGACGGGGTCTCACTATATTGCCCAGGCCAGTCTCAAACTCCTAGCCTCAAGTGATCCTCCTGCCTCGGCCTCCCAAAGCATTGGGATTACAGATGTGAGTCATGATACCCAGCCATAATACTCATTAAAACCTGAAGCTTTGATTTTAGAAAGCAACAGGCTGAATCAATAGAGTATTAATTGGGAGTGAATCTTATACAATATTTTATATTTATCATTTCTGTTTATAAGCCAAACTTAATCCACTTTTATATAGTAAATATCTGCAACCAGTGAATGAGGTATTATTTGAATTTTGATTTTATTTTGGGAACTGAAATATAAAGAGAAAGATGATTTAAGTTTGCTGTTATACTCTACTGCAGAACGCAATTTCTAATCTTTACTTACCAATGTACCCATGTCTTGTATGTATTAACAATTGTATGTATTAACAGTTCTAAGATGTGATTCAAAACTCATTTATTGGCAATTTAAACAGCTTAGAATTCAAACATTTCTCTCTCAGATATTATCTATGAAGAAAATAAATAGAAGAAATGAGAGTATTTTTATCACTTCCAGTAAAATATATTTTGCTAAAACTCACATTTCATCTACTTCTAAAACTGAATTAAGAGAACTTATCATAGGTTCGCGACCCACCTGGGCAGCGAGACCTCATCTCTACAATAAATCAAAAAATCAGCCGGGCGTGGTAGCGCGCGCCTGTAATTCCGGCTACTCGGAAGGCTGAGGCGGAAGGATAGCCGGAGCCCAGCAGGTCGAGGCTGTGGTGGCCGGGAGCGGCCACTGCACTCCAGTCTGGGTGACAGAGCGAGACTCCAACTCAAAAAAAGAAGAGAGAACTTATCATAAAAACCCATATAATAAAAATATTAAATGTTTTATTGTTATTTATAGGCAAAACCTGGCCTAATTATTTAAAAGAAGACATATTTCAACTATGGTACTATACTTATATATATATGTTTTTTTAGTTGGAGCCTCACTCTTGGCATGCCACCATGCCCAGCTTATTTTTTTATTTATTGTAGAGATGAGGTCTTACAAGTTGCCCAGGCTGGTCTCGAACCCATGGGCTCAGGCAAACTTCTCGCCTCGGCCTCCCAAAATGTTGGGATTATAGGCTGAGCCACCGTGCCCAGCCAGCAATAATTTTTTAAAAATGCAATTGGAGTGGGGACAATAATTGAATAACTGTTTTGACATTTTAATTTCAAATTGCTCTCTATCTCCCAAAAACGACTTCTAGGAAGTAGTACTTTGCTAGATTCGTTTTACTTCTTGTACATATTGCAAATAAAAATACAATAAAATAAAATTCCTTCATAGTGTGTGAACATTCTCACATTTAAAATGGCCTTTCCCATAATTATTTAAAATAGAAGGACTTTAATAGTACATAAGGGAGAGGTCACTAAACTCTGAGCAAATCTCTACAGCTGCTTAATTCCACCTAGTCTGTTACAAAACATCAAAGAACTTAATTGCCTATTGCTGCAAATACAGTACAACTGAGTACTTAGTCCTAATATGCCAAGAGGCCTGTCTTATTCCTTTAGAGATGGTTCCCTCTGCCTTGATTACACACGTTTTTTGTTTGTTTTTGTTTGTTTGTTTGTTTTGAGTTGGAGTTTCACTCTGTCGCCCAGACTGGAGCGCAGTGGCCGCTCCCGGCCACCGCAGCCTCGACCTGCTGGGCCCCGGCGATCCTTCCGCCTCAGCCTTCCGAGTAGCTGGAACTACAGGCATGAGCTACCACGCCCGGCTAATTTTTGATTTATTGTAGAGATGAGGTCTCGCCAAGTTGCCCAGGTGGGTCTCGAACAGGCAATTCACTCACCTCAGCCTCCCAAAGCGCTGGGATTACAGGCTGAGCCCGGTTTACACTCTTTGTTAATTCTGGTTGCATGATTGAATAAACAGTCACTATAATCTCTTCCCAGGAGCAACCTTGGGGTGGTGAAAGGTGACGATTAGAACCACAGCCAACGGGAGTAGGTCTAGACACGTTTGTGAATCTCCTTCCTCAAGGCCCCATTGTTCACTGTTCGCCTCCCCCATCCCTTAAGTCAAGTCAAGGGGTACTTCCTCTCTCCCTAACCTCAGTCGTCCTGTTTACATTTCTGTATCTCACCCCTGGCTCTGCCCCAATGGTCACTACATACCCAGTATTTTCATTGTAAAGAACATTGTATTTTCGCTCCAGATTCTTAAATTAAAATGTAGATGAGAGTTATTCCTCTCTTAAAAATGAAAAACAAATATATAGGTTTTTTTTTTATTTCTGGGATCAGCTGCTCAACTGATCTATATGGTTCATATTCCTTTATCCGGCCCTATCAGGAGAGACAAAGCCAATTTACAGATGTCTGCCAGACCCATTTTTTTGTTTATTTCATGTCAAATATATAGATGCCCCACCCTTGCTTTTATTTTCTCTCTTGCTATAGTGTAAGATTGGCCACCTTATTCCTGTCTTCTACAACCTTTAGCCCCCATGGGAGCCCACAGTAAGTGCTGTGAGTTGTGTGAAGTATAATGACTAATGCCAAACAATTTGGCTTATCTGCTCACAGGAAAGAGGTACAGTTGAACTAGAAGTCCATTAAGCCTTTCAGTCCTGAAGGAATGTGTTTATTCTGGCAAGAATTTTCCAGTAAATTTCCATTAAGATAGCATGTGCAGAAAAATGCAAGAGTATTGAGTAACACCATTGTTACATAACTATACCTTCTATATCAAGCCCTGCTTTTAAAACAGGCATAAAGCAAAAATCTAATAGCTAAGTGCTGATGAATTGACTCAATATTTTGACTTAAATAACATTCAGAAGTTGAATAGGTTTGTGATAACCTGAAAATACTGAGTCACGGAAGGGAGGAATTTTATCTCTTTTTCTTTAAAAAAAAAAAAAAAAATCAGCCGGGCTCGGTGGCTCAGCCTGTCATCCCGCGCCTTTGGGAGGCTGAGGTGAGTGGATTGCCTGAGCCCGCGGGTTCGAGACCCGCCTGGGCAGCGAGACCTCACCTCTACAATAAATCAAAAAATCAGCCAGGCGTGGTAGTGCACGCCTGTAATTCCCGCTACTTGGAAGGCTGAGGTGGAAGGATCGCTGGAGCCCAGCAGGTCGAGGCTGCGGTGGCCGGGAGCGGCCACTGCACTCCAGTCTGGGTGACAGAGTGAGACTCCAGCTCAAAAAAAAAAAAATCACTGGTGAGTTACTGCAAGATAACATTTTCCTTTTTAAATATTAAAAGATGAGTGGGAAGGAGACAACTTTCAGTAACAGACTACCCTCCCTAGTCAACCTGCCATGTATTTTTTATTTTGTCTAAAAATGTAGGCAAACATTCTTTCCATTTACATCAATAAACATGCCATGTCACTTCTTTTCTTCTTAGAATATCCTCTTGTACTTCAGACGGGCAATGGCTTACAACTCTGGAGCTTCTTAAAACTGTTTTGGTAAGAGGCCAGTTAACTGGTTTCCTCTTTTTCAGTTTTTAGGAATATGTAATATGAGATACCATGTTCGTTCAGCAACTTGGGTTCAAAAACACAAAGCAACATCTGCTAGATGCAATGGAGAGCAGAAATATTTTTATATTTCCAAAAGATTCAAGCCAACACATGGTGCTGAAATCAAAGAAACACACAGTTGATACCACAGGCAACTACCAATACCCACCACCTGACTTCCTGGCGAGCGATTGTTCCAAGCTTCTTCCTTCTTACTCTTCCGCCAGAATTCTTTGTGCTAAAACACATCACAGCCTTGCTTTGGAAACTCCCACATTTCTCACCTTTTACAACTATAAGGACAGAACTGGATGCCAATCTTTACAAGTAGCTGCCTGTGTTGCTCTGTAAAGAATCACTTCTTAGCATGCTAGACAAGTGTCACGCTCTGTCCCACACACCACAAAATCATCATGTTGCCCTTTTTTCATGGACACTCACATCACTAGCAAATTTGCACTGCACAGAACCTCAAGGGCTTTCCTGGAATACTTTTTTCATCTTGCTAGAATGTCCTCCTAAAAATCAGGGCTTTGTTTTGTTACACTTTCTCCAGGAACAGACTACCTCATTTTTTCTGTGTTAATTTTGACACCTGGTCAGTGAATTTCAAAGGTATGGATATTGTTCAGGGTACTGGTAGTACTTGCTATGTATTTTGTCACAGAGAATATTAAACTGGTCCGCCCTATTTTGTTCTTCCCAAGAAGGCGGGGATTGCCAGTTTATACTGTGGTCAACTCAAAAACTGCAAGCTGATTGATGATTCATCCTTGGAGCAATGCACTCAGCTCAGTCAGCGAAATGAAATAGAAACAGTTGGAACTGGGATTCCTAAGTACCAAATGATTCCAGCTCAACTTAACTATCTCTACGAGCACTGGTAAATCACTTAACTTTTTCTACTCCTCGCTTTTCCTGCCTATAAAATGGAAAGAACAGTAACAGCCTTGCCTGCTTGGTCCGTTGTGAGAAATCCTGCTAAA